AGGAGAGATGGAACGTCTGAAGGAAACCGGGGCTGGCCGGCTGGGGCAGAAATGTGGGCGTGGGAAGGTTTTAAGGCAAGGGGGGAAAGAACCAGACAACTGGGTGACTAACTGGGAATTTTGTGGCCAAAGCCTAACCCGTAATTGTTTTTATTTCAAAGTCTTGGTTTCAGGAGACGCCCTAGACTTGTGGCTCTGTTGTGCTGGTGCCCTTGCTCGATTCTAGCCTGGAACTGTGTGTGCACGCGTGCGCGCGTGTGCCAGTGTGCGTGTATCCCTTCCGATGGTTCATCTGGGGTGATGCTCTCCCTGGAGTTGGGGGGGGAGGAAAAGGAACATAGCTGAGCGTTGTCATTCCAGGAACAATGCCAAGATGTCCATGAGACAAGGATGGAGGAAAAACAGGGTTTCTCCTGGTGCAGAAGGACGAGACAGGAGATTCAGGGAACTTTAAAAACATCTTGCTCCTGTTTTGCATCTGGGTGTGTTCCTTTGTTTGGCAGCTGGAGAAGGGGCAGCTGTTTAAGGTGTTGGGAGAGAGGAATTGAATGGCAAAAGGATGTTTTTGATCATGTTGTTTAGGAGTGAGAAGCTGGGTGCGTTATTTTGCAGAATTGCACAGAGACGGTTTTGATCGGAGACCACGTTTGTCTCGCGGGGCGAAAAAATCAGTCTGCCAGCCCCTTTTCCAACTAACCGACTTTAATAAAAGGCAGACGCTTTCGTGAGCTGCAGATCACTTCATCAGATGCATCAGAAACCTCCTGCCTTTTAATAAAATTGGTGAGTCAGAAAAAATGCTACCAGTTTCCTTCTGGTTGATGGAGATGGTGTGTGGAGAAGATATGTGTTCCTGACCTGTTGGATTCCCATTCCCAGAATTCACAGTCCAGCACAATAAGAGGGTTGATGTATTTATTATGTGTTTAATGGTATTTGCCTCTTTCCATGCCAAAATATCTCCAAGCATTGTAAAAACAGAAATAAATGACAGAAAAAAAGAACATTCAGTAAAACATATTCATTAAAATAGGGGGGCAAGAAAAGAAAAGGAAAAAAACAGTTTGTTCCAGTATTTCATTTATTTCACCAGATAAAATTGGCTCAGAAGAGAACCCAAGGGTAGAATATGGGTTTGATTATTGGAGTTGGTGGCTGGGATATGTTTTTGTAGCCTCTGGTTTGGATGACTTTCAGATCAAATCAAAGCCTTTATTACAGCCTTTTGGCCAGAGAACATTACCATAAAAATACACAAACTTATAATTATTAATAAAACTGAAAAATAGGCATAAAATACAATAAAGTTACATAAAATAAATTAGTAAAGGAACAATAATACAATGTGAGGGTGATCTGGCTGCGACATGGTGATCGCTGAGGCTGATTCGATTTTCCAAATTGTGGAAGAAAAATCCATTAGAAGCTCATGATTTTGTGATGGCTGCCTCTGGAACTCCATGTTCAGAACCAGTATACCTGAATGCCTCTTGGTCCAAGGGCAGAAAAGGGGGGTTGCCTTTATGCTGCACAAGGACCCCGAAAAGAAGCCATTTTTTAGAGCGGGTCAAGCTCAGAATGCAAGGCTGTTCATCATATCACCTGTTGATAGGGCTGTCCAGACTTTTCTGCAACGAATGACAGTGCGCCGGGCTAAGCCGTAATGTGCTTTTCTTCACTTTTGTCTCTGCCTGTGTGCAGATCCAACCATCATGTTTTGCAAACCCGGCTTTATGGCTTAGCAGGTGGAATGAACTGAGCCAAAGATGGCTTATTGAAAAAAAGAAGGTGAATCATGGTTAGTGGAACATGCAGGCCTTTTATAACCCCTGGACTGATCCCCCTGGGGTCTTCGTCAGGGCTACCCTGGGTTGTTCAGAGCCTAATCGGGGGACCCTGTCTCCAAAACACACCATGACAAATCATTAGGAGATCAGATCTACCCTGCTGTTGGGTTTTTATACTTCTGCTGAGCATGGGTTTTGAAAACGCACACCCTCCAAACTCCGCCACGTCTCTCTTTCAGGAAAGCTGCTTCCATGGCGTTTGGGGAATGCCTCCCGGCTCAGGATCCATCCCCGGCCAGCAACCTTGAACTCCAGCACAGATCGCTGAAGTGCAGATAGCGAAGCGGAGAGAAGGCCAGCGTCGTTTTCGAGAGGGGCTGGTGGCCCCGGGAATGACCGCTTCGGTACGTCATCCTTCTTTCTCTGAAACCAGAAAGCTGCGAGCGAGCCGTTCGCTGGGAGAAGAGGGTGCCTCCCCGGTGATGTGAGATGGGTGGGGTGGGCCGTGTGTCCTTCAGTTTGATGGTGGAGCCTTGGGTGGGGTTTCCCCTTCTTACAAAAGGCCTGTCTTTCCTTTCCTATCCAAGACGGTGGTTTTCTAGCTTTCTGGAAATGCTGATGGCTACTTTGGCCCGGTTTTGTTCATCCTGGTTTGTTGAGCAAGCCACAGTTGGCCTCCTCGGCCCTCATCTTACTAAGCCATGAACCATAGTTTGCAAGCCACCGTGGCAAGGTTCACATGTTGCAGCAAGCCCCAGATGAACAACCTGGTCTGTGATTCTGTCACCTACTAAGCCAGTGTTTCTCAACCTTGGCAACTTGAAGATACGTGGACTTCAACTCCCAGGATTCCCCAGCCAGCATGGCTG